TATTGGTCTAGTTCGAAGCTAAGGACCTGTCACCTGTTTTTGAAATAGGTATCACATTTGCCATTTCCACTTTATCTGGCACCATGCCAGTTTGTAGTGATATGTTGAAAAGATTAGCCAAAGGTGTGCTAAGCTCCTCTTTACATTCCTTTAGAACCCTTGCATACAGTTCATCAGGGCTGGGGATTTGTTAGGTTTTAATTTATCTATTTGCCTAAGGACCATGTCACTTGTGACCCTAATAGTGCACAGTTTATTATCGTCCTGTTCTACATAATTTATCATTACTGGAATACACTGGTATCCTCCTGTGTAAAAACTAGAGGAAGTATGTGTTAAAAATTCTACACATTTCCTATCACGGTCAGTGAGCTGACCCGAGGAACTTTTGAGTGGGCCTATCTTGTCCCTGATCTTACTTCTTATACCTGAAAGAATCCTTTTGGGTTAGTCTTCGATTCTCTTGCAACTTTAACCTCATAATCTCTTTTTGCTTTTCTAATTCCCTTTTTTATTTCTCTCTTTAACTGAATATATCGATTTCTTAATTGCCCCTCTCCTCTTTTGATTTGCCTATATATGCCTCTCTTTTGACCAATCAGATATTTTAATCTATTGTTCATCCATTTAGGATCATTTTTGTTTGATCTGATTTCCCTATTTGGAACATAATTTGACTGAGCAGCTAGAACTATGCCCTGGAAAGCATCATATGCAACCATCACCACTACCTGACCCCTAGTCAGGTCATTCCAGTTATCAGCCCACCTAAGTAATTTTCAGTCCTATGAAATCAGCCAAGCGAAAGTCAGGGACGGAGACTTGATTGCCATTATTAGGGGAAATTCCATGATATGTTAAAACTGAGTGATTGTGATACACTCTCCCCAAGCTCATCATTAACCTCAAGATTATTAATTAGTGTTTCCCTACTGGCAAGAACCAAGTCAAGGAGGTTATTTCCCCTAGTTGGCTCTGTCACAAAACTGTTTAAAAACAATCCTGGATCGTATCAAGAAAGTCACCCGACTCTAAATTTCCTGTCAAATTGCTCCAGTCCAATCTGTCTATAGTTGAAATCATCTCCCATTTAGCACAACATTTTCGTATGTAGATGCCTTACGAATTTCGTCCCATAGAAGTTTACTGCACTCCCTATCAAGATTTGGGCCCTGTAATCACACCCAAAATTAGTTTTTCTCGGCCCTCGAGAAGCTGTAACCAAACAGATTCAGTGGCTGACGCTCTAATTTAATATCTTGTCTAACACAACAATTTAAATTGCTCTGACATACATCGCTACTCCACCACCTTTCCTGTTGACCCTGTCAGTGTGGAATAATTTATATAGCCTTGTATGTGACATTCAGATGGCATCTCTCTATCTTTCAGATTGAGCCAGGTCTCTGTTTATAGCAATAATATCTATGTTTCCTGCACTTGCAATTAATCTTAGCTCATCTATCTTATTTCTAACACTCCTGCTATTAGTATAGTAAACCTTAAGGGAGCTAGTCCCTTGCTGCCCTCTGCTGTCCCCCTTTGTTTTCTGACCTGTTCTATTGTCTTTATTTATAACTTCATGCTGAATGCCTTTTATACATTTACTGTTTCCAACCCTAGTGTTGCAACCTGCTTGTTTCCCACACACACCCATACCTCTATCTTCCATCATTTAAAAATCATAGGCATTTCACCAATGGCCTTCTCAATCGATCTGCAAGTGCTACCACCCCTGCCCCAGAGAGATGAACCCCATCCCTTGCATACATATCATGTTTGCCATAAAAGTTGTTCCAGTTGTCAATGAATGGGATTGCAAGTCCTTGCAGTATCTGTCTAGCCAGCAATTTACACCAATTGCCCTAGACAACCATTCATTTCCTACTCCCCTTCTAGGCAAGATGCTACATATGATTGGGATCCCTCCCTTAGACTTAATGAAATCTATAGCTGACCTGTACTTATCTAGCAGCTCTTCTCTCCTACCCTTCCCAATATCATTTCCACCAGCACTGAGACAGATAATGGCTTGTTCCCATTACCTGACATGATATTATCCAGTCTGTTGACAATGTCCCAACACCAGCCCAGGAAGCAACACTCTATCCTCATCTTTCATATTTCCTATTACAAAAAGCACGGTCTAACATATCTTACCTGAGAGTCACCAACCACAAGAATGGGGCAAAAAGCGCTTACCTTCATTAGCAGGGGCAGTAGTACCCTTACCTTCACTGGCCACTGAAGTACATTCATCCTGGAGAACAGAGAAGCGATTTCCTACCTTCAGATCTTCACTCTTAACTTTCCTTACTCTGATGCGCCTCCCATTACTGTGAACAACTCGCCACTTGTAGCAGGTGCTGGCTGCACCTCACTGCCTGGTACCCGTTGCTACCTCCCCACCTACAGCCTCCTCACAGTGAGAGACAGACTGCACCTCACTGCTAGAAGCCTCATTCCCCACATCTCCAACCACCTCACACTCTCTCCCAGGCCCATTGAGGTGGACCTTCAGCCTCCTAATCTCCTCCTGGAGAAGCAAGACCTCCTCCTTCAACTCTCCAAACTCAGTTTTTAAAACACTGCAGAAGCAAGCCATGCTTTGTAACCGTCCACGCTAATCCCCAAAGCAGCTCAGGGTCTGTGACCTCACGTGACGACTGACCACTGAACACTGACGACTGACCACTGAACACTGTGACGACTGACCACTGAACACTGACGACTGACCACTGACGACTGACCACTGTTTATTTATTCTACTGTGGGGTGTATTTATCTTATTTATATGTTATGCATCGTGTTTATTATATAATTTTGAAAAAAATATCATGGATGGATTAATGAAAATGTGTATATTACCGTAATATACGACATTTAATGAGACTCCGTGACTATTGTTATTATGGCGTCACTTGTGGAAGTCGTCTGCTACCAGAGATCACATTTATGTTTATTTATTCTACTGTGGGGTGTATTTATCTTATTTATATGTTATGTATAGTGTTTATTATATAATTTTGAAAAAAATATCATGGCTGGATTAATGAAAAATGTGTATATTACCGTAATATACGACATTTAATGAGACTCAGTATTGTTATTATCACCACTTGTGGAAGTCGTCTGCTACACAGCTCACATTTATGTTTATTTATTCTACTGTGGGGGTGTATTTATCTTATTTATATGTTATGCATCGTGTTTATTATATAATTTTGAAAAAAAATATCATGGATGGATTAATGAAAATGTGTATATTAACGTAATATACGACATTTAATGAGACTCAGTATTGTTATTATCACCACTTGTGGAAGTCGTCTGCTACACAGCTCACATTTATTTTATTTATTCTACTGTGGGTGTATTTATCTTATTTATATGTTATGCATCGTGTTTATTATATAATTTTTGAAAAAAATATCATGGATGGATTAATGAAAATTGTTATATTAACGTAATATACGACATTTAAATGACTTGATGTATGTAAGTTTATTTAGGTACAGGTATACATAAGTATAAATTATCAGAGTATATATAAAATATGAAATAACTTTTAAAAACATTTGAAATTTTGGAGTTTCCAGACAAAATGGAGAGACTTAGTGCTTACTGAGCTCATGGAGAATGTAAACAAACAGGGTGGGGCACGGTGACCGTATTAGAAAGTCAGGTGGGGGGAGCCGTATAGTGAGTTTTGGTCATAATTTGAAATGTCCGTATTAGCGGAACGCCGTAAAGCGGAACGCCGTAAAGCGGGGCCCTCCTGTACACATTGGCGATTTCACCAATTTTGAGCCCATTTCGGCCAATTCCATTGTTTCAGTCGACCAAACTCATAGCTATTTCTTTAGAGCTCCATTTTTCTATCAATTGAGTACAAGAAACCGCCCATTTACTGATTTCAGCTACCCAGTAAAGTGGTCAGAAATTGGCAATTTGGCCAATTTCACACAAATAAAAAAAGATGCCAATTTCAAAATAGGGTCCAGAATAAATAATGCAGACATTCTTGGCACTAAAATTACATATCCTCTGTTCATTAGTCAAGTTTCCAGGCCCCTCATATATTACTCTTTCTTTATATTTTTATTTTTTATTCACACAAAAAATAGAAGATTTACTGTTATGCAGACTACTGCATTATTGTAAAAATGGTATAAATAAGATCAGTGCACTAATGAAAGAATATTAGACTTCCCAGTTGACGTGTATTGGCCGTGTGGTGTGATGAACATTGGTAAAAATCGAACATTTCCGCTACTTAGAGCTCAATTTCAAGGCTGTTTTCATCATGAAACTAATCAAAATCATCTCTATTTCTGTAATATGTTTCCATTCTATCAAATGAGACCAAGGAAACGAGAATACAACCATAAATACTATAGAAAAATACACCTCAAAGTCAGTGTTTTAATCCAAAATCACGGTCGGAGTTTTTTTTTCCTCATGCACTGCGTGCTGCAGGAATTTTTTTGTACAGTGCACACTGACCACACAGACCCATTATCTCACATGTGGGCCTACCAGCTTTCTCCTGCTTGATTTGAAATCGCTAGAATTATTGAGTATATATATGTCTGAAACACTGGCTCATAAGACATATATTTTTATTATTTTTATTAACACACTGGCCGATTCCCACCAAGGCAGGGTGGCTCGAAAAAGAAAAGCTTTCACCATCATTCACTCCATCACTGTCTTGCCAGAAGGGTGCTTTACATTACAGTTTTTAAACTGAAACATTAACACCCCTCCTTCATATATATACGGCCGAAACAGTCAAAGAGTTAAAATTTTCAGTACCATGTTTATCAGCACTCTCAACCTAGCCACCCAGGATGTGCAAGCATTGAAACTGATGAATGGGATGGATGGGGGGATAAGTAAGAGCATACACAGCCTCTTGGCACCATTCTTGTTTTTACAATCATGTATATTAATGTTTTATAATTTGTATACAACTAAATGATGAATATTCTTTGCAGGTTCACTTGCTAAGGATCCCTGGTCAGTTATGGAGCTCTCTCTTGAAGAGGTAGATATTGAAGTTGTTGTACAGGGTGTTCATTCTTCTGATGTCCTGAATGAAGGAATGTCAGCACCAGACTTGAATGAAATGTCAAATGGAAGCAGTGACACTTCACGTTATGTGCACTGTGAAGAATTAAAAGAAACTGATACAGTGACAGGGAGGGAATTAAAAAATAAGTGTTTATCACAAGTGTATGATAATGCTGAATGTAGGAAGATGTCACAGCAACAGAAGACTGATAAAAAAAATTGTAGTGAAATTTCTTTCTCAAATATATTCAAAGACAGAACTGTGGCTCACAATATACAAATGGCTGACAAGTCAACATTGGATACCAAAAGTGTTGGTATATCTAAAGAGTTAGGTTATTGTATAAATAGTAATAATGAAAAGGTATGTACAGTTAAAGTATTTCCAAGTAATCAGCATTGCATCACTTCACATATACCTCAGAATTATAAAAATTTGGATCAAGTCAGTAACATAATAGAAGTTAAACATAATTCAAAAAGATATGCACATTATCAGCCTAAATCTTCAGTAGAAGCAAAAAAAGAGCAGAAGGTACTTAAGAATGATAACCAGAACATTAATTTAAAAAGTAACAAGAATTCACCACACATACAAACACACATTCAGTTGCAGCCATATGGCAAAAACAAAGAATTAAGTCAACAGCAGTACACTATTGATATGAATAAGGAACCAAACTTTACTGTTACTCAACTCATATATAGCTTGGGTGAAAGTAATGAAGGCCTTAAAGAAAATAAGCAGTCTTTAGTTAACCAAGAATCTTCACATAACCAGCCTACATCAATTCAAAAACAAACAGTGAGCAAGGGAGATAACAGGACACAGAGTGAAAAACTCAATTCAGTATTTGGCACTTTTGAGGAACAGAAGATGGAGGCAACACAAAATAATTCACAGTTTGAGCAATTTGAATCTGTACTGAATGAAATAAAAGTAAATAAAGAATTCAGTCAGGCTGAAGAAACTATTATAATCAACCCTGAATCCTCACTAAGTATTACTAATTATGAAAATATAAATATATCACAGAATTCAAACAATTTATTAAACAAGAGTAAAGGTATAGACTCAAGTCTTCAAAAGAATAGTTTGATACCAGCCCTTCCAAAGCATTTACTAGAAAGTGTTGGCTTAATTTCCGAAAGCAATAATAGTGAGTTACAATGTACGAAAGAAGAAAAAAAAGATACTGTGTTAGATTCATTGCCTCAGAAAGAAATAAAAAATAAATTACCTACAGCAGAAAGTTCAACAAATGCCAGCTTACATTATTTATTAACATCTTCAAATTGTGAAAATATCCGCAGCTGGATGGGATGTCAAGAAAAAACTCCAAAAGACCAAGCTGAAACCCTGTCCTCTATAAATGAGGTTAAAAATATCCCAGACTTATCCAAACATGATACAGAAGCACGTACAAAAAATTCTTCAAGTAAATACTTTGGCTCGTTGTTGCAAGATGTTGTTTTTGATGATGAGTTTTTCCAATGTCCTCTTCAGGAACACCCAAGCAAAACATTTGAAGAACACATTACTAGCTCACTTTTCTTTGGTGAAACTGCAAATACTTCTCCTCAAGCAAGCTATAATGAAACATCAAATTCTAATCAAGCTTCAGATGCCAAACGTGTGTATTATGTTGAACAGTATGAAAAATTCCCAGAAAAAAACAGTCATTCTTTAAAATGCACAGATTTTCAATTTTCAGAACAGTTGACTATTAAAGGATCGGAAAAGGCAGCTACTCAGGTGTATTCCACTCCAGTTTCTTCTAATATAACAACAGGTTTCCTTCCCACAAAGCTTTCAGTGCTTCCTTCCACAGTTTCACCCTCTGGGCTGACTTTTACATCTACAGTATCAGCATCTTCTACTGCTACACCCATTGTATCGTGTAATTATGTATGCACAACATCAGTCTTGCCCACGGTAATGTCAGTTACAATACCAACAGTATCATCCGTTGCAATTAATACCGTACCAATATGCTCGAGTGTTTTAATTTCTGGAGTGAGTGCATTGAGCAAAAAATACAAGAGACAACCAGAGCACAAGTTTATAAGTAAAGTAGATGATGTTAGTACAGTAAAAAAGGAAATTGATAGTAGTAAACAATCCCTTCTATCTGTTCTTACTAATACTGTAAAAGTAAATAATAAGCTTTGCCTTACAAATGTGACCAAAGATATTTCTGGAAAGCTTTTTCTGTCTAATATAACATCAGCGAAAAGTACTGTAAACCCAAATAATAATGGCTGTGGTCTTGAAGGAAATTTTAGTACCAGTTTCCCAAGTACTTCAGTAAATTTTTCTGCAGTCAAATGTGAAGATGAAATAAGTAAATTTGGAGAAGTAGAGAATATGTATAAAATATCAGGGACATCAAAAGTAACCAAAAGTGCCGAGAAAAGTTTAACAGAACCTGCAGAAAATTTTACTTTCAGGAATACTTTTGTGAAACATGATCCAGACTTCACTCATGATGAAGATAATGAGAGTATTCCCATAATTTCCATGGATTCAGAAGATGAGATTCAGATCATAATCCCAGAGAAAAGGAAACTCAGGAAAACCAGAGATGTGTCTGAACCAGGCTATTGTGAATCTCAGCATGAAACAAATTCTGTTTGTTTAACTGAGAAAGAAAAGAGAGAGAGTTGTGTGTGTGGCACCAACTCAGAATTTTGTTGTGAAAAGGAGAGAGAAACACACACAGTTACAGAAACAAATCTAGATAGATATATAAAAGTAGACCTAACACTTGATCAGGGATTAATAGGCGAGCCAGTTAGCAAAGGAAGAAAGAGAATAATTGAGAAAAGTGATGAGACTAGACCTACTAAGAAAACAAGAGCTATGTTAAACATTATGCTCAAGAAAGAAGAAGATGGCAGTAAGTGTAATAATAATTTTTTTAATTCATCAAGGAAGATTAATACTGAAAATAGAGTACTTGTGTGTGGAATTCTTGATAATTCAGTTGTTCATGATAAACAATGCTATAGTCCGAGAGTCAAAGAATTTGTTGATTTTGATGAGAGTGCAAGGGGAAAAAATTATGTGGACAAGTTCTATTTTGGTTCAAAAAAATCAAGGAATAAGGAAAGCCAAGAAAGGAGTGTAACAGTTCAGTTTGAGCCAGTAATGAAAAATGATGAGGATAGTTACACATTAAAGCAAGGTAGCACAGCTCAGAGGAATGTAAATCAGCAAATTTCACAGATAGGAAATCTTAGAAGAGATAGTAACTTTGGTTGTGCAAAGTCAAGCCCCCAACATGAGATTAACTCACCTTTGAGTTTTGACATATCTGATCCTGGGATGTTGGAATTAGATTGTGCTCATAGTGGATTTTTTTCTTTAGGGATTTCATCATCAGGAAGCTGTACATCATCCCCAGAGCCATCACAAGAAAAATTTGGAGCAGGAGACTTTAGAGGTAATTTAAAACCATATGAGGGCAGTGGAAATGGACCAAAAATATCTGATTTGGAAAGCAGGCTGAGATATATAACAAAGTGTGATACATTGGGTAGTGGGTGTGACAACTTTCAAATAACCTCAAACTCTGATAAAAGTTTTAATGATGTTTCAGAAAAACAAATTGTAAGTGAATATGAAGATTCTGAAAGATTACCTAACAATGAAAATTCAGAACTGTTGTCTAATATGAGGATTCAAATTACAAATTCTGAGGGACAGTTTCCGAAGTGCTTGCCTTTTACTAATTCTCAATGCATGAATAATAAGTCAGAGAGTGTTGATACAAACCCCTCTCGGATAGTGAAAATTTCTGAAGATGCGTTTAAGTTAGGAAAGGCAGCTAGCACAGTAATTTTAACCAATAAATGTGTACCAACCCAGACACATCTTATTCCTGTATATCCCATAAAAAACAATTTGATCTGTAATGAAGCAGCATCCATTTGCTCATTTTCATCATCATCTCTTTCATCTTCTCATGCCCGTTGTTTAGAAAGTGAAGAAAAAAATTCTTTAAAAAATCAAGATGCATTAATTATACCCTCTGTGAAAGATGCCAATGGTTCCATAGTAGCACGGAGCAAAGGGGAATTAAATTTGCCTCTTATAACAGCGTTTAAACCTAGTTGTATACCTTTATCAAAATTATTACCCCTTATGCCCACCTGCACAAATATGCAAATATGCCATCGTCCTTCTCAGTGTGAAAACAGAGAGTCTGTAATAGATTACCAAGCTTCTGTTTCACCTAAAAAGCTAACTACTGATCCTCAAGCTTTAGTTGCTAGCTTTGGAAGTACTGTACCAAATGACAAGATTTTTATGCAAGCTAACTCCTCTTGTAATTTAAGAGAGATTCAGTCCACTAGTAATGACAAAACGGAGAGGATTCACAGTTCACACGAGAGGATTATTGCTGTAACAAGCCAAACTACTAGTGGCCCAGTAACCCAAGTTCTGAGGGTTGCAGCACCCTTGTCCACGAAACCAAGTCAGCTTCAAACGGATAACAACCAAAACAATGGTGTTAGTGAAGGAGAAAATGTCTCCATTGATGGAGAAGGCCATAAGGCTTCTAATAAAAACAAAATGCTAAAGAAAATAAAAATGGGTTCAAACGGTGGATTTTACTTCAGACCCACTTCATCACTTTTGAATTCTATATTGCAAATGAGAAAAAAGGAAAAGATTGAAGCTGCAAATGAAAATGATAGAAATTCTACATACCTAAAATTACCTGATGGTAAACCAATTTCTCATCCAATGTTTGTTCCTAAAAAAAGTGAATCACAAATTCATAAATATAAGAAAAAAAAAAAGTTAAAAAGAGATAGAAAAACTAAACATTTTGCTATGCAAAAGGTTATGGAAACAGTGGAGCAAAGGATAAGGAGTGATACTGTGCCAGAAATGGTGGCTGTGTGTGTTGGAGGAAAACTTCATATCTACCACAATGACTAATTTTTAGACTGCACTTATTTATTGCTATGTTAAAAAATAATGAATATTTTTTGTATAATTATTTGTAACCATTTATTTAAAAGGTTGCTACTGACAGCAATTAAATTTGTTTTTTTTATGAAAATATCATGATTGTAATTCTGTACATTGTAAGGTTTAATGAAAGATTGTTTATGACGTGTGTGCATGTACATGCCTAGTTGTGTTTGCAGGTATAGAGGTCCAGCTCCTTGATTCCTGCCACTTAACCATCAACTGATTGGTGTAATTGAATAGATTATATTACTGTATACTCTTCCTACTTTTGAATCCATGAATGCATTCTTTCTGCATGGGGAAGTGGAATAGAATTGTTCCTCTGTAAGCCATGCGTGTCGTAAGAGGTGATTAAAATGCCGGGAGCAATGGGGCAGTAATTCCTTCTCCTTTATACATTATTAAATTTAAAAAGAGACTTTCATGTTTCTAAAAAGAAACATGCCTTGGTGGGATATGGCTGGGTTGTTGAAAAAAAAAATGCATTCTTTTCTCACATGATCCATCACTGAAGAAATGTATTTTTATTTTAAACTAACTTAATTGATTATTCAGTTTCCATTTACATTCCTTCATTCCAGTAAATCCCAGCCAGACAGCCTGTCTGTATCTAATTTATTAGTACATATTCTTCTCCATCTCATCTAACTAGATAGTACCAGTCTCTCAGCCTAGATGATTGACCAAGTTATGGAACTTCCATCTAGGCTAAGAGACTTCACTTCTACTTAGGATGACTTCACTTCTACTTAGGCTGAGGGACTGAACACCTCAAATCTCCACTTCAACTGTGGCTTTCAAGGCTGAGGGACTGAACACCTCAAAATCTCCACTTCTTCAACTGTCTCAGACATGTTAGTCACCTACTACATAGGCAAAATGTCTTGGCAATAAAGATACTTAAATATTGCATGGTGTCTTGTTCATCTCCATTAATATAATATGTGCAGTATTCTGTAGTGCTGGAAATGCTAATTACAATCAGCAAATTTTGTTGAAAATAAGTAAGAGTTTTGGAGTGAGATTAATAAATTGAGGAAGTCTAGGGAACAAATGGATTTGATAGTTAAAAATAGGAGAGGAGAGTTATTAAATGGAGAGTTAGAGTTATTGGGAAGGTGGAGGGAATATTTTGAGGAATTGTTAAATGTTGATGAAGATAGGGAAGCTGTGATTTCATGTATAGGGCAAGGAGGCATAACATCTTGTAGGAGTGAGGAAGAGCCAGTTGTGAGTGGGGGGGGAAGTTCGTGAGGAAGTGGGTAGAATGAAAGAGGGTAAGGCAACTGGGATTGATGGAATAAAGATAGAAATGTTAAAAGCAGGTGGGGATATAGTTTTGGAGTGGTTGGTGCTATTATTTAATAAATGTATGGAAGAGGGTAAGGTACCTAGGGATTGGCAGAGAGTGTGCATAGTTCCTTTGTATAAAGGCAGTGGAGACAAAAGAGAGTGCAAAAATTATAGGGGGAATAAGTCTGTTGAGTATACCTGGTAAAGTGTATGGTAGAGTCATTATTGAAAGAATAAGAGTAAGATAGCAGATGAACAAGGAGGCTTTAGTAAAGGTAGGGGGTGTGTAGACCAAGTGTTTACAGTGAAACATATAGGTGAACAGTATTTAGATAAGGGTAAAGAGGTTTTTGTGGCATTTATAGATTTGGAAAAGGCATATGAAAGGGTAGGTAGAGGGGGGCCATGTGGCAGATGTTGTAGGTGTATGGTGTAGGAGGTAGATTACTGAAAGCAGTAAAGAGTTTTTACGATGATAGTGAGGCTCAGGTTAGAGTATGTAGGAGAGAGGGAAATTATTTCCCAGTAAAAGTAGGCCTTAGACAAGGATGTGTGATGTCACCATGGTTGTTCAATATATTTATAGATTAGGTTGTAAGAGAAGTGAATGCGAGGGTCTTGGCAAGAGGTGTGGAGTTAAAAGATAAAGAATCAAACACAAAGTGGGAATTGTCACAGTTGCTCTTCGCTGATGGCACTGTGCTTTTGGGAGATTCTGAAGAGAAGTTGCAGAAGTTGGTAGATGAATTTGGTAGGGTATGCAAAAGAAAATTAAAAGTGAATATAGGGTAGAGTAAGGTGATGAGGATAACAGAAAGATTAGGTGACGAAAGACTGGATATCAGATTGGAGGGAGAGAGTATGGAGGAGGTGAAGGTATTCAGATATTTAGGAGTGGACGTGTCAGCAGATGGGGTCTGTGACGGATGAGTTGAATCATAGAATTGATGAGGGGAAGGAAGGGTGAGTGGTACACTTATGAGTCTGTGGAGACAAAGAACTTTGTGGAAGCAAAGAGGGGAATGTATGAGAGTATAGTTATACCAACACTTTTATATGGGTGGTGAATGTTGCACTGAGGAGAAGGCTGGAGGCAGTGGAGATGCCATGTCTGAGGGCAATGTGTGGTGTGAATATAATGCAGAGAATTCATAGTTTTAAAATTAAGAGGAGGTGCGGGAGGAGGAGTTGCTGAGGTGGTTCGGATATGTAGAGAGAATGGAACAAAACAGAATGACTTTGGGAGTGTATAAATCTGTAGTGGAAGAAAGGTGGGGTAGGGGTCAGCCAAGGAAAAGTTGGAGGGAGGGAGGTACAGGAGGTTTTGTTTGTGAGGGGCTTGGACTTCCAACAAGCATGCATGAGCGTATTTGATAGGAATGAATGGAGACAAATGGTTTTTAATACTTAATGTACTGTTGGAGTGTGAGCAAAGTAACATGAAAGGATTCGGACAAGCCGGCAGGCCGGACTTGAGTCCTGGAGATTGGAAGTACAGTGTCTGCACTCTGAAGGAGAGGTGTTAATGTTGCAATTTTATAACTGTAGTGTAAAGCACTCCTCTGGCAAGACAGTCATGGAATGAATAATGATGAAAGTTTTTCTTTTTTTTTTGGGCCACCCTGCTGTATAGCCCTTGTGGCTTAGTGCTTCTTTTTGATTATAATAATAATTTGGGCCACCCTGCCTTGGTGGGAATTGGTTGTGTTAAAAAAAATCATCAAATGTGTAGTATTCAATTTTGTTGGATTATAGAGAAAATATCTTCTATTATTTGTGTAATATGATTATGAAATAGTTGTCATGGCCACTGCCAGTCACCTGTTTGAAGAGAATGCTAACAGTCCTTTTGTTTAGATAATTTTTTTATTGTATCTGCTTCACTTAATAGAACTTGTGATGTATAATTATGACAACATTTACAACTATAAGCCATGTGTGTATGCTGGTGCATGGCAAAGCACATTATTATTGTGTGATGAAATGACGGTCAAAGTGGACTTATCTGAAAACACTGAAAATCTGTGTATGCTTAAATGTTGTTCAAAGAATTTCACTTATTAATGCCAATACTTTGCCTTTCAGCCTAACATAACATGGTTGATATATTTCGAACAGACTGAAACCTCAGACCGCCTCCTCTCTTGATGGAGCTGAACTTCTACTCCACTGTAGTACAGTGGACCCTCAGCTAACGATGGCATCACCTTATGTTAAATCCAACATACGATACATTTTAACTCTAAAATTTTGCCTCAGCTAACGTTAAAAAACTCGCCCTACGCGATTCGTTTGAGACGCATCCACATGTGGCCTGAGCACCAGTGTTTACAAGCTAGCCAGTGTGGTCGCATCCACGCATACAATCGGAACATTTCATATTATCACAGCGTTTTTAGTGATTCTACTTGCAAAATAAGTCACCATGGGCCCCAAGAAAGCTAGTGCCAACCCTGCAGGAAAAAGGGTGAGAATTACTATGGATATGAGGAGATTAAGGAAATGTGTGCAAAGTGGCTTGAAGTGCAAACCTTTATGGATGAAAATCACCCTCACACAGCTATTGCAAGCCGTGCTGGTGACTATTACAATGACAATGTTGTGAACCACTTCAGACAAATCATAAAGGAACGGGAGGTACAGGCCTCTATGGATAGATATGTTGTGCGACAGAGGTCCAGTGACTCAAGCCGGTCCTAGTGGCGTTAAAAGAAAAAGGGAAGTAACCCCAGAAAAGGACTTGATACCTCAAGTCCTAATGGAAGGGGATTCCCCTTCTAAACATTAACAACTTCTACACACTCCTCTCCTCCCATCCCATCAATCACCACCAGATCTTCAATAAAGGTAAGTGTCAGTTTGTGTGTATTAAAATTAATATTTCATATGGTAAAAAAAAAAATTTTTTCATACTTTGGGGTGTCTTGCACAGATTAATTTGATTTCCATCATTTCTTATGGGGAAAATTAATTCAGCTAACAATAATTTCAGCATACGATGAGCTTTCAGGAACGGATTAATATCGTTAGCTGAGGGTCCTCTGTATATAAAACTTGTTGCAGAATTACATCCTGTGTCACTACATCATTGTTGAAGGGATGGGAATGGGTATATACATTGTAATGTTTGATGCTGTAGCAGACCGAGTTTCCTCCCACAAATTTTATTCTGATGTTCTATAGAATTTAAGCATATGCTTATTAAAGTAATTCTGGTTTACTGCTACTTTGTGTTATTTTGTGGTAACTGGTAAAAGTCATTGCTTGTATGGCTGACAAGCACCTCACTCAGTTTTCAATTGCTGAACATTCATTTCTTTCATTTACACACACTTTTTGAATTTGTAAATTAACATATTAAGTACAGTATCCTTGTCTAACTTCATCTAAACCTGTAAATTAATATTCTAAGTACTGGATTCTTATTTAGCTTCAGTGTTGAAATTCCAAGTAAATGTGAAAAAATATTATGGTCACATGGCATAATGTGACAGTACAGTATTATTTTCTGAACTTCACACTCATTCTTGTTTTACACTATCTTTGTTATCACTGTTCGACTTCATGTGATCAGGTCATCCACTGAGAGATCTGATCTGGGACCAGGCTGCAGAGTCGTTGACCCTCAGAACACACTTCTGGTAGACTACAGGCAGGTAGACTCCCTCCAACACACATGTAGTAGAAATACAATTTTTATAAGTGAATCCATTCTGCACAAATTCCACGTAAATAGTGAAATAAAATACTGTAACAGGATTTAGAATGACGAATAGATGTAGGTGCAGAGCAAGCCTTTATTTTGAATGTATTTCACTGTACAACTTTATCAAGTAATTACAAGAATACGAGAATGTGATCAAAATAGATGACAAAGATTCTAAATGGACACAGCTGCCTTCTGCCAACAGTAATAAAGAAGGACAGCTGCAGAAGATGGGTGTTCACAAGATTAGTGGAATGTGAAAGACTGGTGGCAATACAGGTAGAGCTGTGCAAGAGGCCTGTTGGCTAATGCAGCATGTGTACCAGCTAGTTGTGTTGGAGTGTCATCTGGTTAAACTGGGTAAGTTCCTGTTTCTGTTCAGTCATGTCTTGTGTGTGGATTAATTCTACCTTTAGATACCTTGTATGAGTTCTGTTCTTGACTCTGTGGATAAGCTTGGCATCTTTCTACAACAGTAAGTCTGTGATTTATACTCGCATTGTTGGTATTGTGTCTTTCACGCATACTGATTTTCCTGGCTCATGATGCTAAGACTGCAGATGTCTTGCTTATATACTGTGCCTGCAAAAATAAATTGGACCTCCATGAAAATCACTAAAAAGTAACAACATAAACATTGTAGAACAAAAACTGTATTACTTGGTATTGTATCTATATTTTGTCATATACTCCTTGGCCTTGATGATCATTTGAAGCAGTTTCAGAATGTTCTCACTCAGATTTCTGACGTTATCAATGAAAAACTGGTTAACCCAAATGTCCTTGATGTACTGCTGCATGTCATGCCTGCAGCAGATCAACCAGTTGTCCATTGATTACTTAAAGAATCTGAATTAAGCATGCCCAAATGGCTTCAAATGGTCATCAAGGTCAAAGATGACAATATTAAG